GTATACAGTCGGAAGGCAGCGCACAGGCTTAAATTAGCAGTGTGTAATTGAGCTTCATTTAACTGCAGGAGAATTTCACTGAGAGAATTTTATTTACATAAGATAAATGTCTTCATGAGATTGCTTTGGGAGAATTTAGACGTGTATCTGCCAAATCACTCCTTGCTTACCCAGTCCAGCCCAGGGCTGCTGGCTTACTCCTGATGCCTGTGTGTGGAGGGATCATCATTCTTTATGGCCAAATCGGCTTCCAGACAGCTCAAAGTCCAAGCTGGGGCTTCACAATTCTCTTTTCTTTTTAAACTTTTTATTTTATATTGGCATAAAATGGATTAACACTGATATGTTAGTTTCTGGTGTATAGTACAGTGATTCAATTATATATATACATGGAGCCATTCTTTTTCAAATCCCTTCCCCAATTAGGTTGTTACAGAATATTGACCACAGTTCCCTGTGCTATACAATAGGTCCTTGCTGGTTACCTACTTTAAATATAGCAATGTGTACATGTCCATCCTAAACTCCTTAACTATCCCTTCTGTGCCACTGTTCCACCTTGATAACCATGTTTCTTCTCTAAGAAAATGTTTCTGTTTTGTAAATCAGTTCATTTCATTTTTTTTCTGCTTCTGCATATAAGCAATATCACAGTATTTCTTTTTCTGTTAATACTTTCATATCTTTATATGTTGATACTTTCATAAACATAGCAGGCTCCAACAATATGATGTCTTATTTTTTTTTTCCATTTATTTTTATTAGTTGGAGGCTAATTACTTTACATCATTGGAGTGGTTTTTGTCATACATTGAAATGAATTAGCCATGGATTTACATGTATTCCCCATCCCGGTCCCCCCTCCCACCTCCCTCTCNGGAGTAGTGGGGGAGTAATAGGAAATTTTAAAAGAAAATAAAAGAGAAAAAATAAAAATGAAAAGAAAAAAATTTTAATTAAATTTTTTAATTAAAAAAAAAAAGGGTAAAAATGTATCTAGGAATTTCTCTGGAGCTGTTATGGTCAGTGTGGGTTCCGTTCAGTTTCAGATAGCTCCTCGTTCCAGCTTACACTCTCGATATCTACAGGCCCCTTCTGGTGTAGTCAGTGTTATCTACAGGGATTTTAATCTGTTGCACCGGTCCCTTCTGAAGCAGTTCCCTTTGTTTATTTGGCTTCTGTTTGCCGGTCTCTTCAGTGTCTAATTTCCGCCCTGACACAGGTGGGTGGAGGTGGTCTCTTGTTCAGGTTCACTAGTTCCATCACGCTGCAGGGAGGAACAGGTGCTGCTTTCCTGGTCTACGCTGCTCAGGCTCCCGGCTGCTCTATATGGAGCGTGCCCTGCATTGCATGCGGTTCCAGTTTTCAGGTTCCACAAAAGCGTGGACTCGGTAGCGCCTGTGTTTTGTGCCTTCCCCGGCCCGAGCAGCTCAGGCAGCCAGGAGCTTGACAGGCGCACGCTCCCCAGGTGCGGTTTGCCTTCTCCCCTCCGCGGCCCCAGCCTCAGTTTCTGCCAGCGCCGGTCAGGTGCGTGCAACCCTCCCCGCGGATGTCGACCATCCAGAATCTCAGGAAGTCTTTGGTTAGAAACTGGAGGCCTGTTTGCAGTGCGGTAGGGAATGCCGTCTTTGGGGCCGAATTTGCCCCTTTCCCCTCCCCCCTGCCTCCTGCCTCTGGTGGGGCTGGGCCAGTCCGCAGCCGGCTAGCTCCTCTGGACTTGCTCAGGCCCTTTGTTCTGCGAATGGCCAGCAGTGTGTTCAGGCCGGTTAACTTTCTCTCCCTCTTTTGCTATCCCACAGTTTAAGCTGGAATCTCACAAAAGCTCCCTCTGATTGCCCTCAGGGCACTCAGGTCCGGTCCTTACCCTAAGCAATGACGCCTGCTCCTCTCTGTTCTGCCCCCACTTGCTGGTGGCGGATGCGAGCGTCTGGGGTACTTTTCTGCTGGGATTGCTTTTAGGCACGTAATCTGTGGGTTTTAGTTTTCCTCCCAGTTAGGTTGCCCTCTGAGATTTGAAAACTTCCCCCAGACCCACCAGTGCGAGGGTTTCCTGGTGTTTGGAAACTTCCTCTATTAAGACTCCCCTCTATTAAGACTCCCTTCCCTGGATGGGTCTCCGTCCCTAGCTCTTTTGTCTCTCTTTTTATCTTTTATATTTTGTCCTACCTCCTCCTGAAGACAATGGGCTGCTTTTCTGGGCTCCTGATGTCCTCAGCTAGCGATCAGAAGCTGTTTTGTGAAGTTTGCTCTGAGTTCAGTTGTTCTTTTGATGAATTTGCAGGGGAGAAAGTGGTCTTCCTGTCCTATTCCTCTGCCATCTTGGCTCCATCTAGAGTTTTCTTTTAAGATATTCAATGACATGAGACTATGAAATAAAACCTGGGGCTTCCCAGGTGGCACTAGTGGTAAAGAATCCGCCATCAATGAAAGAGACAGAAGAGGTGTGAGTTTGATCTCTGAATCAGAAAGATCCTCTGAAGGAGGGCATGGCAACCCACTCCAATATACTTGCCTGGAGAATGCCATGGACAGAGGAATCTGGCAAGTTATGGTCCACGTGGCTCTTTGTGACTCCATGAACCACAGCTTGCCAGGTTCCTCTGTCCATGGGGTCACAAAGAGCCGAAACCAACTGAAGCAACTTAGCACACAGATGAAATGAAACACAGAAGTCCCCCTTCCCTTCTCCTAATTCACTCATGACCTCAGAAGTGAAAACTACAGTTAAAATTTTGGTGGCTATCTGTTCATTTACATCCACAAATGTACCCTGTCACACACACACATCCATTGCCTTTGTACATGCTCTTGCTCTTCCATCACTAAGTTGCATCCAATTTTGCAACCCCATGGACTGCAGCACATCATGCTTCCCTATCCTTATCCTTCACTATCTCCAAGAGTTTGCTCAAACTTATGTCCATTGATTTGATGATGCCATCCAACCATCTCATCCTCTGTTGCTTCTTTATCCTCCTACCCTTAATTTTTCCCAGCATCAGGGTCTTTTCCAGTGAGTTGGCTCTTTGCATCAGGTGGCCAAAGTATTAAAGCTTAAGCTTCAGCATCAGTCCTTCCAATGAATATTCAGGGTTGATTTCAATTAGGNGAGTGATGGGACCAGATGCCCTGATCTTAGTTTTTTGAATGTTGAGTTTTCAGCCAGATTTTTCACTCTCTTCTTTCATGCTCATCAAGAGGCTCTTTAGTTCCTCTTCGCTTTCTGCCATTAGAGTGGTATCATCTGCATATCTGAGATTGTTGATATTTCTCCTGGCAATCTTGATTCCAGCTTGTGCTTCATCCAGCCTGGCATTTCACATGATGTCCTCTGTATATAGCATTATATAATGTTCTGTAATTGCTTTTTATATTATGTCCTAGAGATATTTCCAGTTACTATACATAGATTATATATCAGCCATGTTGTCTTTTACATGGCTGAGCAGTAAAGATGCACTCGAATGCATTAATCCATTTGCCCTTGATTGACCTTTAGGTTTTTTTCAATTTTTTAAATTTTTTTAAACAGTGCTTCAGTGCACCTTTTGTGCAAATGTTGATGTGTGCACATGGGTGTGCACATGATGTGTGTATGAGTGTCCCCACAGGATAGTCTTTGATGGAGAGAAGCTGGAACAGAATGTATGCAATTCTTACATTTTAAGTATGCCAGTATATTGCCAAGAAAATGAAAAGGCTTCACCAATGTATATACTTATCAGTAGGTGTTCATTTTCCCACACGCTTGCTAAGACTAAATACTTTATTTATTTTTCTAGTTTCCTGGGTGAAAAATAGCATCTTGTTTTAATCTTCATTGACTTGGTCATTTTCTACCTAAATAAATACTTTATTTATTTTTCTAATTTCCTGGGTGAAAAATAGCATCATGTTTTAATCTTCATTGACTTGGTAATGTTCTACCTAAATTCTAAATTTACCTACAAGTTAAAATACAATTTAATTTGTAGAAAATTGACACTTTTGCAATTTGAGTTACCTAATCCCGGAGTTTGATATGCTTCCACATTTATCCAGATCTTCCCTTATTCCCTTTGGTGATGACTTGTTCTTTAAATTCATTTTATAAATTACTAGCTGTTTATAATATTTACTAGCTAAATATTTAATATTTTTATTGATCTAGGAGGTTGGATGATTTCTCATTATAGTTTATTGCCAGTTGTTCTAGAGCACTTTTCTCAAGCAGGAGTTTCCATGGACATTCTTATTTAATATCACAATATTCCTAAAAAGGAAATACTGCCCCATTGCACAGATAAGGGGCTTCCCAGGTGGTTCAGACAGTAAAGAATCTGCCAGCAATGTAGGAGACACAGGCCATATGGGTTTGGTCCCTGGGTTGGGAAGATCCCCTGGAGGAGGATAGGACAACTCACTCCCGTATACTTGTCCGGAGAATCACTGGACAAAGGAGACTGGTGAGTTACAGTCCATAGGGTCCCAAAGAACCAGACAAGACTGCGTGACTAAGGAAACTGAGGCTCTGTTGGGCTCTCCTTGTATCCTATGTTATGCTGATAGGAAGTCGCAGTACTGAGATGTGTGTATTATCCTTCTGGAAGTCGTCTCCCATCCCTGCCCACCACCAGTTTTTATCAATCCACACCTTCCTGGGTCTCGCCCTTCTCTCTCTCTTGCTGTGTCTTTTGCTGACCCTCTTCCCTTACTTCCCTGCTGGAGCATAATTAAGCATCAGTTCCCATAAAGGATCCCTCGACATGCCGAGCTTGGTCCCCAGAGCTCTGCCTCCAGCTCCACTTGTGTTATCCACACTGTCACCCAGCATGCTCAGGACTGAACTCCTGTCTTCTCTGAAGAAAAGACACCCTTGCCTAACTTCTCTGCTCCGTCACTGCTACCACACTTCCATCAGACACTTAGATCCAGGGCTTGCTGCGCTCCTCTCCCTCCACATTCTGTGGATCATTTAGTTTACATGTATTTCGCTCTGTGTCACTCATCTCCTCCCACAGCTGTCCCCACACTTGGCCCAGGCCTTCCTGCTCATGCTCCAGAGTAGGGAGTGTGGTTAGTGAGGGTGTGAGTTCCCATCCCCATCACCAAGGTATCATGCTGGCTGGGGTGCTTCTAGTGCTGTGAACGCAAGCAGTCACCTCCCCTTGGTCCTCACTGTTTTCATCTGTAAACATGGGAATAATAAGAGACCCTGCATTGTGTGGTCTTTCTATGAAGTAAATGAGTCAAAATGTATGATGTTTGAGCCACGGTGGCTCACTGAGCTAAGAGGACCTGATTAGAGGTCTGATTAGAATTAGGACTCATAATCAGCAATGTCTGCAGCCACATTTCTCCTGTTTATAAAGACACCCATTCCACTGGGTTGAGAGCTTCCCTGGTGGGTCAGGTGGTAAAGAATCTGTCTGCAATGCAGGAGCCTGGGGTTCAATCCCTGGGTTGGGAAGATCCCCTGGAGAAGGGAATGGCAACCCACTTCAGTATTCTTGCCTGGAGAATTCCATGGACAGAGAAGCCTGGCAGGCTACAGTCCTTGCAGTTGCAAAGAGTTGGACACAAGTGAGGAAGTGACACCTTCACCTTCACTTCATTCCACTGTTAGAGCCATGGCATCTCAAGACTTGGACAAGACTTAGCAACCAAACCACCACCATGAATTTTGGAGGGAACACCAAAACAACTGGTTGGATATCTTCTTATAAGGGGAAACTACTTTTTCTGCCATGTGTGTTAGTTGCCCAGACATGCCCAACTCTTTGCCACCCTATGGACTGTAGCCCACCAGGCCCCTCTGTCCATGGAATTCTCCAGGCAAGAATACTGGAGTGGGTTGCCATTCCTTCCTCTAGGAGATCTTTCCAACCCAGGGATCAAACCCATGTCTCCCAGATTGCAGGCAGATGCTTTACTATCTGAGACACTGGAGAAGCTTCTCTCTCATATGTGAAGCTTTTAACATAATTTTGTTAAGCTGTAATTTTTATCAGGACACTCAATTGCTCTCCAGACAAGAATACTGGAGTGGGTCACCATGCCCTCCTCCAGGGGGTTTTCCTGACCCAGGTATTGAACCCACATTTCTTTTGTCTCCTTCATTGGCAGACAGGATCTTTACCACTAGGGCCACGTGGAAAGCCCAACTTCTATTTCAGTTAATGCTAATTTATCTTCCAAAATAAAGAAATATAAGATAGTCACTCATAAGCTCATCTCATTTCTAGCACTATATATTCTTAGAACTTGGATTTTAATCTTGTGTTCCTCTCATTTTTCAGAAACTGTTATAAAAACTGTTTAGGAGAAAGCTCCGTTTCATTACACAGCATGGATGTCAATTGGAGGTGACAGGCACAGCTGATAAAAGTTTCATTGTGTTGTGCTACCAGTTGGCATCTTATTAGAAAAACCATCTGTTCTTTTAATTACTATTAACTCAGTTGAGATTGCAATAGCAAAAAAAAAAAAAAACCCTGAAGATATATTTCCAACTAAGTGAGAAATCAAACATACTTTAAAAATCTTCCTGAAAATAATATTGTCTCTATTGAAGATCTAACAGCCTGACTGTACGGGAAAAAGCCAGAGAATGTTATAAAAGAATACTTAACATCAAAATCTTAAAATATGCTCATTTTCATGTAAGAATACATTATGGTCATTCCTAGAGGGGAAAATACTCTTTTATGTATTATACATAAGGAAGTTTCTTGTTGAAAGCTAAAGAGAAGAATTTTAGCTTTTTTTCTTTTAAATATTTGTTCATGAGATGAATGAATGAAACCCATCCACCATGAATTGTATACAAAACATCTCTTCTTACCCAGACTTAAGAAGAAATGTTTTGTATACAATTTATGGTGGACGGATTCCATCCTTTCATCTCACGAACAAATATTTTCAGGCAGCACAGCCAAGGACCGCTCTGTGTTATGGAGATGAAAAGTTGATGAAAACAATTCAAGTTCCTGCTGTTCTAGTTAGAGAAGTGTTAAAGCAATCTCAAACACCTTCAAGATGACTTCATGTAGATGTAATACAGTCAAGTGCTCGGAGCATGAGTGACCATGGATCAAGGATGTGGTTCAACTGGGATGATATTGCTGCAAAGTTACTTTGGGAATTGAGGCCAGATTTATGGGAAGGAACCAGGCAGATGAAGGTCTGGGCTCAGGGACCTTCAGGTCGAGTGGTTAGAAGAAAAACATTTCAGGGCAGAGCATGAGAGAGAGAGTGCATGAATAACATGGCCAAACCTAAACCCTGTGTAACCATGAATAACTGGGTCTAGTGGGACCACAGGATGCAGAATGGTCTGATGGCAAATGGTTGCATGGCAAATGTGCTGATGGTAGCAGGAGTGGCAACAGAAGATTAGAAGGCTGGGATCTTTCAAACTGGTGGTGCTGGGAGAGGCAAGTGAATGATTCAGAATATAGTTTAAAACAAGGAACAGAAGGAAATTCTAGTGGAAGATATATGCAGGGTGAAGAATGATTAATTTGAACAACTTCAGAATATGTCTCTTATGTTCAGATACTGGCAAACATGCTAGGGAATTGTTAGTTATTCAGTTGCTAGGTTGTATCTGACTCTTTGCAACCCCATGGACTGAAGCACACCAAGCTCCTCTGTCCACTGTTTCCCAGAGTTTGCTCAAATTAAACCCATCCACCATGAATTGTATACAAAACATCTCTTCTTACCCAGACTTAAGAAGAAATGTTTTGTATACAATTTATGGTGGACGGATTCCATCCTTTCATCTCACGAACAAATATTTTCAGGCAGCACAGCCAAGGACCGCTCTGTGTTATGGAGATGAAAAGTTGATGAAAACAATTCAAGTTCCTGCTGTTCTAGTTAGAGAAGTGTTAAAGCAATCTCAAACACCTTCAAGATGACTTCATGTAGATGTAATACAGTCAAGTGCTCGGAGCATGAGTGACCATGGATCAAGGATGTGGTTCAACTGGGATGATATTGCTGCAAAGTTACTTTGGGAATTGAGGCCAGATTTATGGGAAGGAACCAGGCAGATGAAGGTCTGGGCTCAGGGACCTTCAGGTCGAGTGGTTAGAAGAAAAACATTTCAGGGCAGAGCATGAGAGAGAGAGTGCATGAATAACATGGCCAAACCTAAACCCTGTGTAACCATGAATAACTGGGTCTAGTGGGACCACAGGATGCAGAATGGTCTGATGGCAAATGGTTGCATGGCAAATGTGCTGATGGTAGCAGGAGTGGCAACAGAAGATTAGAAGGCTGGGATCTTTCAAACTGGTGGTGCTGGGAGAGGCAAGTGAATGATTCAGAATATAGTTTAAAACAAGGAACAGAAGGAAATTCTAGTGGAAGATATATGCAGGGTGAAGAATGATTAATTTGAACAACTTCAGAATATGTCTCTTATGTTCAGATACTGGCAAACATGCTAGGGAATTGTTAGTTATTCAGTTGCTAGGTTGTATCTGACTCTTTGCAACCCCATGGACTGAAGCACACCAAGCTCCTCTGTCCACTGTTTCCCAGAGTTTGCTCAAATTAATGTCATTTGAGGCTGTGATGCCATCCAACCATCTCATCCTCTGTCACCCCTTTCTTTTTCCTGCCCTCAGTCTTTCTCAGCATCAGGGTCTTTTTAAATGAGTCGGCTCTTCACATCAGGTGGCCAAAGTATTGGAGCTTCAGTTTCCACATCAGTCCTTCCAATGAATATTCATGGTTGATTTCCTGTAGGATTAACTGGTTTGATCATCTTGCTGTCCAAGGGACTTTCAAGAGGCTTCTCCTGCACCACAGTTTGAAAACATCAATTCTTCGGTGCCCAGTCTTCTTTATGGTCCAACGCTCACATCTGTACATGACTACTGGAAAAACCATAACTTTGACTATATGGACCTTTGTCCATAAAATTATGTCTCTGCCTTTTAATATGCTGTCTAGGTTTGTCATAACATTCCTTCCAGGAAGCAAACATGACAGTGGATATTATTATTCAGATAACATCACCATGATGTTAAAGAGCAGGTCTCTGAGTTTCCATCTACTCTGGATCTGTATATGTGTCTACTCTTTTTTTTCCCATCTTTCCGTCACTTAGTGTGCTGACTTGAGAACTCTTCTACATGGGCAATAAGTTCTGACCTTTTTCATTTTTGTTTTGGTTGTGTCACACAGCATGCAGGATCTCAGAACCCTGAGCAGGGATAGAACACCTCCCCCCCACCCCCAGGCAGTGGTAGGTAGTGCAGAGTCTTAATCACTGGACCACCAGGACGGTCTGTATCTATCTACTGTCTCTCTGGTTTCTCTCTAATCCTTTCTACTGCAGAAAGGACTTCTGAAGACAGTATCCTCACAGCCTCTCCCACCAGAGCCCCTTCCTCCCTCAGGCATGTAAAGGCCATTTCTGGGTCTGGTTTATATCTTTCTACCCCGTTAGTGCCCTGTCGTGTGATGCTGGCTCACATAGTGTCGGGAAATATTTTTGTCTGTGGTGCCCCAGCTCCAAATAGCAGAACGCTGATGTCAGATGCACCGTGGTCATTTTCACTTGTGTGTTTTTTCTAACACAGGAGGATTCCTCACATAGTAAGTACATCCATAAAGAGTCAGAAGTGAGCCCCACTGTGTAAGTGGATATGGACTCTTTCTTCACTGTTGTTTTAGGCAGGCCTGATGGCCTTCAGCAGCACTGGATACACCTGATGACTGGCCTCTCCTGGACGATCAGCTGAATAAAGCACATGACATTTACTTTTGTAGCGACCACCTTTAAAATGTTTTTAATTGGAGGATAATTGCTTTACAATGGAGGGCTGGTTTCTGCTATACAACAACACAAATCAGCCATAATCGTGTATCTGTATATATATATCCCCTCTCCAATATCTCAATTGGATATATATATGTATCCCCTTTCTCTTGAGCCTCTGCATATATGTGTATGTACATATATGTATATATACACACACATATATACATATACACATACATATACACATATACACATACACATATACACACGCATACATGTGTGTGTATATATATAT